TAATAACATTCAAAAACCTTCAAAAAGACATTTCATTTCGGCTCTGAAAAACACTGTAATATACTATAAAAATTCACCAAATATCCTGCAGTAAATTTAAGATTTTATTTCTCTCTCTAATTTCTCTTTTACATATTACTTGTGCACAGCAAACTGCCATAACCTAAGGCTTAAGGAGAAAATTCTCTATTCAAGTACGTACATTTTTTATATATAGGCTTTGAGGAAATGTCATTATTTACTGCATCATCTGTGTATCAGCATAATAAAGTGCAAAAGAGATTCACCCCACAGTTTGATTTCCCAACTTAATAAAAGCCAGACTCCTATCAGTTTTACATCTGGTACTTGTGTTTCTCATTGTGTTTGGTAACACCTAATGGATTGCATCCAAGAAGGTGGCACTCTATAAATGTCAAAGCCCTTGCCATTCTAGAATTCTATGATTATACTCATGACGATTTCAACTCTGGAACAATAACAGTTACTGAATTAAAATGTGAAAAACCAAGAACAAACACTGAGATAAAGATATCCTATTCTCATGGCAACAACTTACAGGGAGTTCATTGGCACCACGTACCTTGCCCTGCACGAAGCAAGTGCTAAATACATATCTTTGCATTAAAACTTAATGGTCATTTAAGTCAATATTTCAAAACCATTGCATGAATTCTGATATTTTCCTTCAAGAAATAAGCAGTACAGCTGGAAGTTTGTATTTCTTCATGGAATAACTATGGTTTAACAAACAGCTAGTAAAATCATATTAAATTCTGCTCAGTTCTCATTAATAATTGATATCAGATCAATTGATTATTAATTCATAATAACAAGGGATCTTTTAGGACCTACATTTAATGCATAAAAAGTCAAATGCACATGAAGATTTTCTAACAGAATAGTAGTAGCATTTGTTATGCTTTTTGTTAAAATTATTTTCATTCCTCTCTTGAGCTGTATTACTATACTGCTTAAGTAATTCAGTCCCATATATCTACTCAAATTATACAGAAGCTAGGTGGCAATAGTTATGATTTTTTAATTCTCTTGAGTAAGAACAAAAGGATTATTTTTATTACTTAAAACAGAATTTGTTAATCTCTGATAGTTTCAGTCAAAAATAACCAATCAAATTTGAGATTATATTATAGTGAAAAACAAAATCTTGGTATTAATTCCAACATTTTTGTTTTCCTTCTTTATTACAACTATTTTGAACAACATAAAGAAAAATCCTACAACATTTTTCATTGAAATATTGTCTTAACTCATTTTTTTTTCCTTCTCTAATCCAACCTGAACAATGAAAGCACACTAAATGTCCATTTGAACAAGAATTTTTTAACAGATATTCATGGCCCAAAGTAGCAGTCTAACCTCCATTAGACTAACCTCTTCACTTTTCAAATTTATTTTATCATGCCATATACAATCCTACCTTCTCCATCCTCAGATTTATCCATATGCCAAATTTTATTAAATATTTACTAGCTTCTTGCTCTTTCTATCCCCGGTGACACCTCCCCTCTTTCTGAATCCTAAAAAATATCAGAAATTTAGAGTTAAAAGAAATTTTAAGAATTTAATTTAATCTCACAAGAATCCAAGGTTTGAAAAGTTCAAGTGATTTCTAAGTTCTATGTAGTTACTGAAAGGTACAATCTATATTGAACTTGTAAGCTAAGTGGTTGCATATGTTCACATGTGTAGCTTATTAAATTATGCTGCCACTACTTTATTTGTTCTAAAATTGTTTCTTCTAAACTCAAGATCAAACCCTACTTTTCATACACATGGATTATGTCCTCCTGACTCCACAAAATTTTATATCAACTATAAATTAATATGGTTCATGTCATTTTCTGTGACACCTACCTTCCGCAAAACTAAAAACAAACTATGATTGCTTCCCATTAGAAGCCACTCATATTTACTCAATCATGAGGCAAGATGAACATGGCAGGCCTATACTTCATAAAAAGGAGCCTTGGTGGCACAGTGGTTAAGCAATTGATTGCTAACAGAAAGGTCAGTGGTTTGAACCTGCCAGCCTCTCTGCAGGAGAAAAATGTGGCAATCTGCTTCTGTAAAGATTACAGCCTTGGAAACACTATGGGGTAGTTGTACTCTGTCCTATAGCGTCACTATGAGTTGTAATAGACTCAATAGCAACGGGTTGGGTTTGGTAGTTACACTTCACAGGGAATATAACCAATGCTGTGGATCCTGGAAGACTAGATTTGGGTTTAACCAGTGAAACCAGAAGCAGTGTGGTTAAAAAGATAATGTTCGTGGTGTTCAAGAAATTAAATCTTAATCAGAGTTCATGCTTTTGATTAAGCTCAGGGGTAAGAGCCTGGAGTCTCCGAATACGTAAACAGATAATGACGTAAAAAACTAGGAGAGGATATCGGGAGAGAGTGTGTAGGCCCTTAATAACATAACAAATGTTAAAGAGTGATGGGAGGCCCACTCAGGTTTCATTCCCGGCCAACACTCAGCAACCACCCATCTGTAAGTAGAGCCTTACATGTTGCTGTGATGCGGAACAGGTTTTAGCAGAGCTTCCAGACTAAGACAGACTAGAAAGAAAATCTTAGCAATCTACTTCAGAAAAATCAGCCAGTGAAAACTCTATCAATTACAAAGGTTGACTCCTTGTGCGTGAGGTTGCCATGAGTCGGGGGCCGACTTGATGGTAGCTAACAACAGCTATATGTTGCACGGCTTATCCAAGACAAGGGCCTATAACACAATGGTGAAAGCAATTTTCCTATAAAGAAAATATGAGCGTTTTATTTTTTTGACGGTTCTGTTTCATATACATGTTGTTTCTCATAGCTAGTATTAAAAACAAAAAAAAGTTGACAGGTAAAATTGTGGTTTAATTTTTCTCATTAAACCAAAAATCTTAACTAGTGGTTTTTCCATTCTAGGCTCATGATCTCATTGTCAAGGATAAATAGACACAATAAATTATACACCTTTACCTGTCCATGGGTGATAAAAGAAATGATGTTCCTAAGACAAATGATAAAATATTGTACAAAAAGTAATTAAATAAAAATAGGCACAAACGTTTAGTAATAGTTTATAATGGGTTAGAGAGCTGATTAAAAATTAAGCAAGATAGTGCAAAAAGATAGAAAGACAGTATGTGTAGCAAAATGTCGGTTCAATAATGGTGGTCAATTTAGAAATTAATCAATGCACATGCAATTTTTATAAGACAGCATTTTTTTTAACGGGAAAAATATATTTGTAGTGGAGATTTCATTGCCTTAAGATTATGAGTATCTCTGTTTCTCTGTGGCTATTGTTTTATATCTGTGAATCTCCAAAAATAAAACCCTTTATGTAAGACCCTGTGACCTAAATTTGTCCTTTATACACTGCCTCTGAATAAGAATCATAAGGCAATTTCAAATCCTCAGACAGAGTTGAACTTGAAATAACCTGATGTTAGTTACTAAGTATAGTGTGAAAACTGATGTTAAATGAGGGATGCTGGAGGATGTCATATGACTTACTTGAGGAAAAATAAGAGGCAAAAAAGAATCAGCAAGTGAACTATATGGGAAAAAATGAGTATGACCTATGAATCCAGAAGAGGAAAACACCAGAAAAGGAAATAATACACTTCTCATAAAGAAGGCTGCATTTGAAAAATACACTATATTGCCACATGCAAAAAATAAAGAAATAATGTTGCCAATTCCACAAAATACATATATTTCTGTTTTAAAAACGACAGGGATGTCTTTTGTGATATTAGTTACTTTGCATGCTTTTATTTTTGGTCTTTTCTATCATATTTCCCTTAGTGGTGCCAGTTGATCCACCAATACTCAGACCAGTACAGATACTTCTAGTACTCACGTGGCAAGCATCAAGGTGAATAAGTATATAATCTCCAGACAATGTTAGTATCCATGATTGTTTATTTTTGTATTCTCAGAATTTGAAAATAGCTCTCAGTATTGAGATTAATTTGGAGAGAATCCTGAGTATGCATAATATGTGAGATTGGTAAATGGTTAGTAAAAAAAAATACGTGGAAAATTATGGGTGTAGGAAAGATTATGTCACATGTTTGAGACACGAAGCAAAGAGAGAACAAAGAATCCATTTCCTCCAAATTGAACTCCAGAAAGGAGTTACACATTTTCTATTGCCATTTGCCCCTCATTGCTAATAAACAACTGTTGCCTTTCTGCTGCAAACATATTCTTTCTCCCTCTTCTATGTGTCTAGAATTCTTGAATCTGGAAAGCAGGCAGGAAATAGTCCAGTTTTGTTAATAGTAAGAAATAGAAGCATCTAGATGCAGCTTTAATTATTTTTTTCTCATATAGAGCATTAAAATTTTAATAGTAATAAGTTATTCATTGATAGACACAAATATATTTTAGTGTTTTGCTTTTTATATTACAATTGAATTTTTTTGCTTTGTTTAACATGGTAGGTTATTATTTACCCATGATTTTCGATTAAATTTAAATGAAAGCTTTTTTTCTTTTAGATACATACAGATAAAATTAAATCACGTCTTGTTTATTAAAAACTAATCAAGTCCATATATGACATATAATTTTGATGCTTGCTATGAGTATCGACCCGCTTATCAAAAAGTTGCTCGTTTGATCCCACCCAGCAGCACCGTGAGAGAAAGGTCTGGTGTCCTGCTTCCATAAACATTACAGCCTAAGAAACCCTATGGGACAGTTCTACTCTGTCACATGCAGTCCCTAAGAGTCGACAACCGACCAGACGGCACCTAACAACAACAATATGTTTATTGACCTACATTTAACTACTTGAATAAATCACATCCCTACCCTAACCCACTAAAACACTTGGAAATGCCACCCCTTCTGCCATGGTATTAGTCAAATATTTTTTCATAGCCATTAGTGGTGTCCAAGTTTCTGTAAAAAATAATAATAATAAATAGCTCTCACATTCAGCTTTCATATTTCCCATATAAAACTTCTTACCTTTCCTACATATTGCGTGTCTGTACCCGTGTACTCTTCCAACAAGAAGAATTGATTCCACATCCAACCTCGTTTGCTGCGACGTAACATTTTACCATTATCTTTTGTCAGATCCAACGTCCTTTTGCTTGGTAAATAATTGTTAGCTTTTTCTTGTAATGGAATGGCATCAACTATATGGAACATATAGGTCCAAATTAATAATGTCAGGCAATGGTAAGTCCTCATTATCTGCAGCTTCAACAAGATGTCAAATTCAAAGTGTTTTCTGTTTCCCCTAAGGAGTGGAGGGAGACAATTTAATTTTATTAGCTTGTGGTCCAGTTTCACATAACCTGTAAACTATAAAACTTACCCCGTTTTTTTTAATCTGATAAATAAAAAATATATATGTAGACATTTTTATATATGACATCCAGTAAACTATCATTAAAAATTTACATCAACATAGGTAAGTAGGGAGACAAACATAGTTCAAGTAAATTAGAGTAGGAATTTAACATGACTTTAAAATTACTATATTGTAGCCATATGAATGTGAATATGTATTTAATTTAAAATACTAAATATAAAAAAAAGAAACTCTACAATACACCAGTTAATTTTTAGTGTTTACATTGAAAGTCCCAAAATCTTTATGATAAATAAAAGCAGAAAATTCATCGATATATACATACTTCCAGAGACACTGTTTTCCACTTGCAGTCTACCAATTTTTATAATTTTATTTATTTAGGTAATAGGTAATAGGTTGAGATGTTGCCTAAAGACAAAATAAACTGCAACAAATACACTTTGGATTGTGTAGCCCTGTTGATCCTTTACAGTTTTTTTTTTTTTTTTTTTGGTTTGTTTCTTTTAAATAATTTTATTTATTTTGTTGTTGTTGAGAATATATACAGCAAAACATACACCAATTCTACAGTTTCTACATGTAGCATTTAGTGACACTGATTACATTCGTCGAGTTGTGTAACTATTCTTACTCTGCTTTTAGAGTTGTTCCTCCTTCATTAACACAAATTCACTGTCCCTCAGGTTTCTATCTAATCTTTGGAGTTGCTGTTGTCAATCTGATCCCCTATAGATACTTCTTTTTTTTTTTTTTTAATTGTGCTTTCGGCGAAGGTTTACAGGCCAAGTTAATCCTATGGATACTTCTTAAAGATCCTTTACAGTTGATAGCTATTTTTTTCCAACAAGCATTCGAGTAAGCCACTTAAATTTGTTTAATATTAGTAGCACACAATCATAAATGGAACGATTTTACTTGCTTATTAAAAACAACAACACATATTTATTTCCTAAAATAATAAGATAGAAGATAACATACAATGATATTGTAAAATTAGACATGGCTGCTTTACCTGTAGGATAATTTGATGGAGAATTTTTAAACAATTTCTCTCTATTGAGACAGTTTTTTTTTTTAAATTGATTAAGTTAATTAATTTAGTATTTCAGAATTAGTTTTATTTATAAGCAAAATTATTTAAATAGTAAGACATTCAATTTATAGCATGAGAGTATTATTATTATCATTATTATTATTATTTGGTAAGCAATAGGAACATACCTCAAACTAGTACGAGCATAGAAAAAAATCAAAGTGTGGGGGAAAAAAATGAAAGCAGAAAATAAGTAACAAAGCATTTCCTGCTCATGGAAACAAAAATTAGGGGCTTGGTGCATAGTTCTATTCTCTCTTTCTTTCTCATTCTATCTCTCCTACTACAGGCTGTATCTACTTCTCTTTACACTTTGGTTCTTCTTTCTCACTTTGAACTGAACCTCCTCAAATTGATGGAGAATATGCATGATACACTATTTCCTGAGTTCATATTCAACATTTTGCATCCCAGAAAGCAACTGAGAGTTTTTCCTAATTACAGTTTAAAATTTCCTGGGAATGGATTCTGATTCACCTGGCTTCAGTTAGATACCCTGTCCCAGGAAAAAAAAAAAAAAAAAAAAACAACAACTATGCATTCATGCATGGGATTATGAAGGCATAAAGGTCATATACACAAGTTCTATATCCTGACTCCTGTGTTCAAATCTTGGCTTTTGTGTGAGACTTTGGGCAATTTACTATCTGTGAGACTTTGGGCAATTCACCCAGTATCACTGTATCTCAGTTTCTCCATCTATAAAATTGAAATAATTAGTACCACACACACACACACACACACACACACACACACACAATCCATTGGGGCAAGTCGATTCCAACTCATAGCGACACAAGGTATTATTATTAATTTTGTACTTTTGAATTTTTATCAATGCAGAGTAATAGGTATATGTATTACAAAGACTTATTTTATTTTTACAACACTATATTTCATAAACGGTATCTATGAAAAAACTGAGGCATGGAGAATTTAAGTAAATTGTCCATGGTCATATAGGGCAATTCAAGTGTTGGAGTCCGGTTTCAGACTCACAGCCTTAAACACTATTATTTTAAATAAAATAATGAATGTAAAGTTAGAACAGGCATATCACCTCTCAAAATGTAAACACTACCACCACCATCATCATCATCATCATTAACCATGGCTGCTTCCACTATAGTCATGTAGATATGGTTTTGATACAGGGGAAAAGAGATGGGTGATTGGAAGGCAACACTATAGATGCTGTCTATTGTCTACAGCTCTTGGCTTTTCCTAGCATATACATGTACCCTAATTTCTATACCTATTATTAAACAACACTCTTAGTTAACATTGTACACATACATGGCCACAAACACATACACTTGAAAGTGAAAGAAAATCGAAAGTCATATCATTACTGTATCAGTTTCTGACTCTGAAAGTCTGGAACATTAGTTGATGGTAATTATCTTTGAAGGAGTCTTGCTGATGCAGTAGTTAAGCACTCAGCTGCTAACCAAAAAGTCGACACTTCAAACCCACCACCAGCTGTACCGCTTGAGAAAGTGTGGCAGTCTACTTCCATAAAGGTTCGAAAAATATCTGTATCTGTATCTATGTCTGTGTCTGTATCTATCTATCTCAAACCCATTGCCGTAGAGTCGATTCTAGCTCATAGCTACCCTATATGACAGAGCAGAACTGCCCCCTAGGGTTTCCAAGGAGCAGCTGGTGGATTTGAACTGCCAACTTTTAGTTAGCCGCTGAGCACAGACTTGGAAACACTATGCAGGAGTTCTAGTCTGTCCAACAGAGTTGTTATGAGTTGGAATAGACGGGATGGCAAAGGGTTTGGTTTGGTTTTGGTTTAATCATCCTTTATTAGGACTTTATGTGTCTCCTAGTAACCTTGCAATGTTGTTGTTAGGTGCCGTCCAGTCGGTTCTGACTCGTAGCGACCCTATGTATAACAGAACGAAACACTGCCTGGTCCTGCACCATCCTTACAATCATCGCTATGTTTGAGCCCATTGTTGCAGCCACTGTGTCAATCCATTTTGTTGAGGGTCTTCCTCTTTGTTTCACTGACCCTCTACTTTACTAAGCATGACGTCCTTCTCCAGGGACTGGTCCCTGCTGATAATATGAGCAAAGTACATGAGACAAAGTCTCACCATTCTCACTTCTAAGGAGCACTCTAACTTCCCATACTATGTAATAATTGATAAATTTTAACCACAGCAAATTTAAAACCACAAGTAAAATGTCAGAAACTATAATGTCAAATAGTATTTAGAAAAAGAGTAATGGGAAAAAAAAAATCTTTCTAGTGGCCTCTGATCCAGAACATGCCCCATATCATTTAGATGGGTAATGATGTAGTAGACGGACAGCCAGAGAACCTCAAAGACAGCTGCTGTTTTGCTTTGCTAAATTGTAATACATTCTTTAGCTGACCATCCTGGTTACTTTGGTTTCTTCTCCCCACAGTTTCTCATGGCCATTGTCTTTGCTGGTCACCCTTACAAGGGAAATTGTAGTGCACTCCCTCTGTCCTGCCATCTGTTCTATAAGAAGCCCACTTCCTTTGCGTGGCATGTAGGCCTTTGAACAGACAAGGCCATTGCATTATATGGAGTCAGAGACTTAGAAAGGGACTAGGACACACAGATCCTTGTAAAGTAGATTAAGGATGCATCCTCACTCTCAGTGCAGTGGAAAACCATTAGAAGATTTTTACATGATATGATCTGAGTCAATTACAGAAAAGTTCAGTCTGGCTACTGAGTTAGATTCGAGAGGAGGAAGGAGATATGATCAAGGAAAAGTTTATTTAAAACCTATTGCTATAGTCCAATAAGAGATGATGCTGGCATATAAGGAAGTAGTCTGAATTGGACACTGATACTCTGGTCAAATTCACTTTGAGCCTCTAATATGGCCACAGACACACACGTGCCCACACACTCGCATACACCTACCACATACACAACAATTTTTGTGTTTTTTCTTCTAATGGCCAGCACCTGCAACTGTGTTGGAAGACTCCCCTTGGCTTCTGAAGCCACGTTGTTGTCATGCACAGGGAGCCTGAAATGCCTGCAAGTTTCTAACAGTTCCCCCACCAGAAGCCCTTAGCCAGTGCCTAGCAGGTACAGATGTGGAAAGTCAGACAATATTTAAATCCCAGAGCTCCCCTACAAGAACCAAGTTGCAGTTGAGACTTCGCTAAACGTCTCACTCTTATTTGGCCTCTTTCCTTCTCTGTCCCTCCCTCATTTCCTCCCCCACTCTCTTACCTGGAAGCAATTTTTTAATCAATCTCTCGCTTACATGAATCCTTCACTCGGTGTCTGCTTCTGGGAAACCAGATCTAAGACATGGATAGATTCCACATATTCAGATATTAAGAAGAGTGGAAACTCAGTCCTATGTATCGTTTATGGAGGCTCAGAGAAAAATGAAGTATAACTCATAGGTTAATAATTTGTGAACTGCGTGGATGGTCAATGCATTTATTGAATGTCCTTTATGTCAGGGGAGAAGGGCGTTGACTGGATAAATCAAGAATCAATTTCCTTCTTATTCTTGGTCGAAAGAAAGAATTGCTTCTTATACTGCTACTATTGACAGTTTGGCATAAGTAATAAAAGGGAGCATTACCAGAAATGATTCACTGCCCTAATATTATGTAAATTAATTCATATGTTTATAACAATCCTTTAAGATAGATTCTACTATAATCCCTCAGATTACTATAAGGAAACGAAGTGCAGGGGTGGGGGTTGAACGAGTTCCTGATATTATATAACTAGGAAACAGAAGATCTGGGATTTAAATCCGGTCATTCCTGTGTTCTTGGTCTCTACTGCTATAGAAATAGCCTACTA